AGTGACCTGTGACATCTAAATTGTGATATGCTTGTATTGTTCGTTGTAGAACAGATTTCTTGATTGTTGAAACCTATTTAATTACAGCCTTAAAATAATTGCTGTTTTGCAACAAGTTATATATAAGAAATCGTTTCGCTTCGACAAAAAATAGTTGCTTTTTTTGGAGTGCTGTATGTGAATTTACTCTCATTGTTAATGTACCAAGAATTGTTTGAAAGATTTGCGTATGTTTCATATATCTGACGGTTCCGCAAGTGCTTTCCACAACCACAGTGATTCATAAACTTTTTTGCTTGTTTGAATGGATAGTGCTGTTTAGTTAAATTTGCAAAAACAGATGTTTTATTAGCATTCCTTGCGGGAGTTTTCTGATAAGGCATTGTAAGTACCACTGTTGCCTTTCAGAGTGAAATAAGTTTTGCATCGCTGTTATTTTTTCAGTAGAGTTAACAGTCTCCATGCAGAAGGCAATCTTGTATCAGAGGACTTTCGTGCTTTATACGGTAAGAACAACCATGTCAAAGAATGTAAGGTTAGCACTCTCCCGGCAATGGCTCTGACCTGGACCCTCGTAGAACAATATGAAACAAATCAAGCAAAAATATTTTAAAGCAGGTGTTCCCAATTATTCTTAGGAATTACAGAGTAACGATTAATATAGTTCTAGTTGTTTTTTATTATAACTGCCAAAAATAAGTGCCACTTTTCTGCTGTCGGTTCTCAGACGCCATGTTCTGTGAGAAAATGGTTGCAAGTAAGAAAAGCTCTGATGTAAGAGATAAAGATAGATGAGAACAAGATAGGAAGAATGCCACGTTCCAGAACTGCCCAGGGTTGGAGAAACTATTTCGTAATGTCTATAGTAGGAGAACTACTAAGAAAGCTATTGTGCACTATTTTGCCGGCTCCCTCCTTGATAATTTCGCAACTTAGTAAAATTTCTGACTTGTTTCGTTTTGACTCTCCGGTAGCTACACTGATGAGTCACCATCTACACTCGTTTCATTTTCGGAGCACTACAATGAATGTGATTTAAAAGACAGCAGGAAGATGGGAAAATGCAAGACTGAATGAAAAACGTTATAATTCCAAATCAAAACGTGATCCAAACGTTAAGTTTGAACACCAGTCAGGTGGATAAACAGGTCGGTCCGCAAACGTCAGTGCAGGTTTATCAATACCGGATAATTAAAAGACTAAAAAGTAGTCCAGTGACTGCTTTGGATATATATTGAAAAACGAAAAAAAGCACTGGGACGCGAGCTACAGTACCCAGCATTTGAAGCTGCTCTGATAAAAAAACAGAAAAACTGGATCTACCCTAAGAAATTACAGGATAATACTCTATTTGATAAATCATACTGAAAAATAAAAATGTAAGAAAAAAGACAGAAGGAAAAAAGCACTGTGGCCTGAAAAGCTGCCAGCTCCTTCTACCTGTTTATTTTTTTTTTTACCCCACCCCCACCCCCCTCTCCCCTGTCGTAAACACTTCGTTCAGTCATAGAATTAGCGTGTTTTCAAAACCAAAGAAAAAAAATGAAATCCCGATAAACCTTTCGTACACATCTCCTTTTCACGGAGAGTGTAAAACAATAAGTGCCCATTTAAGCTGTAAACATTCTGCAGCAGTAATGAATTGCTATCCTTTTTCGGATAGCATGCTATCAAGGCATCCTTTTCTTGAGACAAAACAATCAAAAGCCCGTAAAAACTCCTCTGAAGGTTGACTAGTCACACACTCCAAATGCACCGCTCTTGTGGCCAAGCATGTAAACAAAGCTACCCACCTTTTCTCTACTTTCTTTTCCGAGTTTAATACCTGCATAAGCCCTGCATAGTCCACTGCTGTTCGCAAAAATGGCCTAGCTTACTGTGTCTTTTCAGAAGGTAATGGTGGCATTTTCGGTAACTCAAAAGGCTTTGCCGACCATCTCCGACAAATCATGTACTCTTTCTTGATGGCGGTACTGACCGTCCTCATTCCTTTCCTTATCTAAAACTTTTCTCGCAATTTCGTCAATGTATGCGATACCCCCGCGTCAAGAATCATTAAGGTGGTAACATGCCCAGAACGAGATAAAAAAATGAGCGTACCAATTTTATCCACTTTCTCACTGATGCGTCCTAGAACCCTATAAATCTGGTTCTTATCCAATTGTAGGTTCCAGGTTTTTACTTCTTGAGGTATTATTCCTCGTTGCACTTGTTTCAGAAAAATCCGTTCTGTGACATGTTTAGCCTCTACTCGGTCGATACTAATTGAAGATGCTTTGAAAACTCTTCCCTTTGTTGTTAGATGAATAAAAATTACTACGGTTGTCATAGTTGCTAATAATCGTTTCCAAATGCTGAAATTCCTGACGTCTACTACGGTCAGGTTACCTTCAGAGTCTGAGGTGGAGCTTAATACTGACACTTTTATGTCCTTCTGTGACATACCAATAGGTTCTGGTTTCAGCAGTTTATTTGGCCACTGATTCTGCGCTTCGTTTAACCAAGACAAACCCCCCCCACCCCCCACCATAGCCTACTTTGTTTTAGAGCTGTCGGGCCTAACTCTCTGGTGACTATATCAGCTGGATACGTGTCAGATGGAACGTATCTCCATTCCATCTTAGTTCTTTTTATTTCTTAATTCCTGTTTGCCAGGAATCGACTTAGTAATTCTGACTTTTCTGTTTTTATCCAAAGAATTACACTTACAGAATCACTCTATATGAGTGACGTCATTTCTCCACACCTCATCTGTTTTTTCACAAACTCCAGTGCCCTTGAACCAATTACTGCTGCTATCAACTCGGCTTTTAGAATTGTCAAGCCCTTTATAGAAAGCAGTCGAGTCTTAGCAAATATTAAATGAATTTTTAGTCTACCGTTTGCAGATGCGGTAAAGTAGACGCAGGTGGCGTAGGCAATTGCGCTT